AACAAGAAACAACGCCCTGCATATCTTCCCTGCAGAGATAAAATGTTCTACCTATAGCCCTGGAGTCCTTCTCCTCTCAGAACCCAGCAGCATGCCTCCTCTTGCAGGTCACGTCTTCCACATAAAAGTGCTAAACTAATGCCGCTTAATGACAAATTAATGTCCATGAATAAAAAATACACCTCTAATAGCATGGAGTAATTTGCCATTACAATATCATCATTGGACATGCCCCTGGTTTAATACGATGTATTTAATTCATAACCTAATGAGTGATATATAAAAAGAGGGAGATGAACCCTGCAATTACATTTATGTGAGTCTGTCACCTTATTTGTAAAACCTTAGAGTCATTTACATTCAAATTAGAACAAATGAGTGATTTCACAAAGTGCGGTGATAAATGACCATAGAGGCCTAAGACAAAACTGTATTTCCTGTGAACACATTAATAGTTTCCTATTATTTGTTAAAAATTATAATGCATATTGCCCAGTGTGGTGTGAATAATGACTTTTTTACTGATTAGGTCAGAAGACTAATATGTAGCAAAATAAATAATTTTTCTTTCCATTTTTTGTCCTGATTTTCGCTTTAAATGAACTATTGAATTCTTGTGGATTCACACTGCCACCTGCTGCCTCAGCACAGATACTAGATGGCTATTTCCATCAAAAGCAATGCCACTACTTTGGTGGTTTTATTGGAGAAGCCTATGCAATGGTCTTTTTTATTAATGAATTTTAATTGCCCATCATTATAAAGGCTATGATACTTGGTGAACCAAAGGAACACTACTATTAATCAAATAAAAGAATGTGTCACTTGGGGGAAGTGGCACAAAATGTACAAGACTTTCCCCCTTCAGAAAGCTAACAACAAAAGATGGTGTCCCGGGCAGAGCATGCAGTGCCTAATGGGCCACTTTCAGGGCATACAAGACTAAATCCAATGGCTAACATTCCTGATCTTATGAGTCAGCAGAGGACTTTGTATCTGTGCCCGTGTGTCTGTGTGTTCCCACTCATGACCCTTCAGCACAATTTAAAGGGGACAGAAAACCTTTGTCTGCTCTTGGGGATCGCCTTTCACCAGGTCTTCTCCCCTAACAGCAGCAAGCCTCTCTCTGTAACGTCTGCCTTAGGATCTAGAATAAAGACAGCTTGGTTGGAGGGAGGCCAGGAAAGAGCAGGCCTGGCCCCAGAGATCAGGGGAAGGCCTTTTGTAGGGAACCATACTGGAAGGACCAGCAGGTGGCTGGTGAACATTTTGGAATTAAGTCAGTCTCTTACTTCTGAATTTAAGTTCTTCCATCTATAAAAAGAACTCCCACCTGCCTTAAAGCATTATTCGGTAGGGTGGAAATGTGAGTGCTTGCAAAACATTCAGCACCGATAGGTCCTGCAGAAATGTTGGTTCCCTTCTCTGGGAAAGAAAACAATAATGGGGGAGGGGTATTTTGACATAGATAAAGACTGGGACAAGAAAACCTCTTAGGAGTAATTGGAGTCATCACCATTTTAGCAAAAATGGTGAGGGTCTAAAGAAAGGCAAGAACTTCAAAGAATCGGGGGTGAGTGACTCTACCTAAGTTGGATGTCTAGACATCCAAAGTTCTAGACAACAAATAGATCAGTGGTACTCCTAGGGCATGTTGTGATATATTAAGCTTGAATATTTATGTGGGATTTAGGTGAGGTTCAATAGTTAACCAAAAATCACCTGAGAAGGTTGAGTGTAAAGACACATGCCTATAAGCCCAATATTCTGAAGGCTGAGATAGAAGTTAGATGTGAGCCTGGGCTACTCTGTCTCAAAACAAACAAACAAACAAACAAAAAACAAACAAACAAAACAAACAGCAAAAACAAAACCCCAACCAAGCACATAAAGAACAAAAATTAGCTGGGGAAAAAGGGTTTGTGAAATCAAACCAGATTCAAAAAGTTTGCACACCAGTTCAGTACACCAGTGGGCACAGTGGGTACATCAGAATTTTGACATATGTAGCTGATAACTCTGGATGATGATCTCCAGGGGTTTCCTTAACAATATTTAAAATAGTGAATGGAACGTGTGCAAACGCACAATTTGAAAAGCAAGGTCATTCACGCACTTTACAGGACCCGTTCTAGACAGTAATTGATCTTTTACAAAGTGACTCATTTTTTTTTTTTTTTTTTTTGAGAAATTTTTAGAGGAGCCCAAGGGGCAAGGACAAGCAGAGAAACACTCACATTTTATTTTTGACTGTATCTTGGCTGTGGATCTTTTAAAAAAGGTGCGATCCAATGCCCACACTGTGGCCTTGAAGTGCCCTTTTCTTTTTGGGGGTGTGGATGGTGTTGTAGAGCAGCAGCGTTTGCTGTGTTCAGAGGACCTTCAGACCAAAGGAAGAGCTGCCGGCTGGGGAGGCTCAGGGAGCTTCTGCCAAGGGGCTCTCCCTGGACAGGTTTAAAAGGAGTTCTGGAGAATTACAGGTTCCTATCCCTGGACAGGTTTAAAAGGAGTTCTGGAGAATTACAGGTTCCTAGAGGAGGAGTCTATCCTTCATCAAAGAAAGAAGGGAAATTTAAGAGCAAAAAAATAATAGCAGACATCCTAGTGAGGACAATAGCTTCAAGAACTCCCAGTTGGACAAAGTATCAAACAATGATGCTAAACACATTGCAACTGAGAGAGGGTTCAACTTCTTGGTACATTTTAAGCACTGGGAAGTTTTGATTTTATAATTTTTAAAATACATTTAACTAAACTATTCTATATGAAATTAAAGATCAGTTGAGCAATATTGCCAAAGTAGTAAATACATATAAGACTATATAAGAATAAAATAATATAAATGTAGACTGACCCAATCTGGTAGGTTTTTTCCCTGACAGAAGCAGAATATATGCATTTAAAAGACGGAAGTACTATAATTTCTACACATACCTGGTTTTGGATCTCATACAGTCAGTTTCCTTCTACAAGTTCAACATCTTGCAATAATCACAGATAAAAAAAGAAAAAGTTGCATAATAGAAGGAACTGGAAGCAAATTTGTAATCATTATTAAGGGGCCTAACTAATAGTTCTTCACAAAATGTAACTATAGACAAAACACTTTTACCTCAGAAGTTACATCGCAAAGCACAGTTACTTAGATCTAACAATTTCATCTGATAGAGCAGGGGGAAATACACATGAACTTACAGTGTTCATCTGGAATTCTTATTTATTAAAAACTGTAACTATAAATGCATGCACACTACTTGCAATATACATGATGATAGTTAACATCACAACCAAATTCCCATCAATATGTGTCACTGATAATTATCTGCCATAGAAAAAGTGAATGCAGTGATGCTTAACCAAAGCTCAAGTAGTAGCATTTGACGTAGAAATGTCAAGCAAAACTAATTTCAGTCTCACAGGTTAAACATGCTTTCTAAGTCCCGTAAGCTTTCTAGGTGATCCCATTGGCTACAGACAGGAAGGAATTTAAAACAGCCTTCTCATACAGCCCAAAAATATTGAGAGGAAAAGGAGGAAGGCAAGATGGTTAAACATTTGCAGCTAGATTAAATGTGTTGGGATGATGATAAAAATTTCATGCACTGTGTTTGAATTCCTCCTTAGGTGAACATGGCTGACATTCCTTACATTTTCGCCCTGGGAAGCACTCCTTCCAGTTTCCCAGGCTGCCTTGAAGCACACAAGAAAACACTTTGGAAACTATCTGGTGGGCAGCAGGCGTGAAGGATAAAGGGCATATTTAGAGCATATTTAGATAAATTTAGAATTAGAGGACGTGATTATGAAGGAAAATAAAATAACTGGACAGGAAAAGAAGATTCTCCTACTTACTAATGTATGTCACATGCACACAATAGTAGAATTACAGTGTGCAGTTTATTGTTTCAAAATTTATTTTCGTTGTCATTACTATTGTAAAAAATGCATAGAAAAGTGAGACCAGTGAGGCAAATGAGAAAATTCTAAAGTAGAAATTCACTCAGGGCCAGCAAGATGGCTCAGTGTAAAAGACAACTGCCACCAAGCCTGATGACCTGAGTTCAATCCCCAAGACTCACATAGTGAACAGAGAGAACCAACTGACCTTCACATACATACTACGGTGTTCATGCATGACCACAGACAGAAATACACACACAGAGACAATAAGTAAATAAATATGCAATCTCAACTCTGTAAAATAAAATGGCCTCAGAGCCTGAGGCTGCCATAGACATATCTTACTCATAGAATTTTTATCCAAGAGGAAAAATGACTTTCAGAATTAGAAAAGTCTGTCACTTGTCAGCCACAACCAAGTGGTGTACGTTTTGAATCTCTGACATTTTATTTTTAAAATGTACAAATTTGTTGTAAGACATGGATGTGAAACATCTGTAAACACACAGTAGGTTTACACTGAGTGGGAATTTTCTCTCCATGGCTCTCACAGAGTTGCTCCTAACCAGCCAACAAATGAGAGGAAGGACGCACACGCACAGCTCACTCATTCCTTCTCCAGCCTTTCTACCTGGGAAGTTCACATGATGACAAATTATATGTGACTTTGTGATATATTAGCTACTGCTACTGAAGTCTTGACTGTTCTACTTTTCTTGCATCTGTGCTCATTTCCACAGACAAACAACATTCCTTCAAACAGGACCCTTTCAGTGCTATCTTCCTAGGACCACCTGGGGAAGCTTATACATGGCTGCTGGGCGAATCTGCTGTCTGAGGAGTGGGCACCTGGAGGGGAAGAGAGGAAGGGTAAAACATCTGGGTCTACTCAAGGATTCAAGAGTGCAGTTTAATTCCAAGGATTCTCTCACATGTTTCCTGAAGAAATTAGTATGATAGGGTACACACACACACACACACACACACACGGGGGGGGGCAATTTATATGTCACTGGACTCCACTTGGGAGGGGGTGACAACTTGGGACTTCAGAGGAAGGAAATGTGAAGGGCACTTTGGCATGATACAAGCACACATACCTGGATAAGATAGTGGGAGCACAAATTGAGAAGCTCCAAAAGCTGCAGGTGACTGCCAGCTGCCAACACATCCTGGATCACTCCTGGCTCCAATAAAATCTGTTTTGTTTTTCAATAAAGAAAAAAGGAGTCAGCCACATTAAAAATAGACATATCAGACCATGCTGTATTTCAATTACTATTACACACATTTATCTGACTTGAAACTGATCATGGAACTCAGTTCTTTTCATTATATCCTGATTAATGAGCTGCGGCTCTCTTTGTAACAGATGAGTTCTTTCCTTACTGCTTGGGCCAATAGTTACTTCCAGCACCCAAAGCTCAGCCCTAGCTGCTTTTTTTCTGTAGGAGGTTACAAACATTTTCAAAGAACAGTACATCCCTCTTTTGTTTCTGTTTGTAACATCGTCTTATAAAATACAAAAAAAGAGGAGATTTAGTTTTTCAGTCTATTTCAGAATTTTGCTCTTCAGTCCATCACAGAAATAGTAGTTAACACAGGTATTTTATATTTATTTACTTTTATTTTATATATATATGAGTGTTCTGCCTGTATGTATATAAGTGCCCCACAGGCATACAGTCCCTACAGAGATCAGAAGAGGGCATTGGATTCCCTTAGAACTGGAGTTACTGATCGTTGTTAGCCACCACGTGGGTGCTGGGAACTGAACCCAGGTCCTCTGCAAGAGCAGCCAGTGCTCCAGCCCCTTAAGAGGTATTTTAGAGAAATGGGCTTATGCTTCCTCTTATCATATGAAATCAGGGGTCTATTACTCCACTTGACGTCTAAGTCCTACAATAGAAAACTTCAATCTCAAAACTTTCATTTTTTAATTTTTCATTTCTGTTTCTCTAGTCCTTTTTATTTAACATGCAAATATAATTTTCATGAAATAAAAGCATTCCAAGTAAAGAAAGCATCCTAAGTTATCTTGGTGATATCAATTCTCTTCTTTTGTTCTAACAGAACAAGACTAAAGAAAGACACATAACACGCTGACAGAATTCATTTTCATGTATGACTAACAGCTACAAAGATGCCTTTAGTTCTACCATAATCACCCATCCCAGCCCACTTCATCAGTCCAGTTGTTCACAAAGTTTGGTCACTAGACCAACAGCATCAGCATCAGCTTGGAAATAGTGAACACTGACAACTCTTGGCTGCCTCCGAGACTTGCTGAATCCGCTTTCAGGATGTGGTAACTAGCATTTCAGAAAGCTCCACCCCAACTCCCACAGCACTGATGTAGGGAAGTGAGAATTACATAGATGCTGCCAAGTTCTCTTCCACACAAGCCCTTCTCTGCATGCCTCCAATTGCTCTGCTCCTTGTTCTACCTCCTGAAGTCTCCCAACACCAAACCCACTATCTCCCACCTACATCTATATGAGAACATTTGCTTTTCCCAATATTCCACTTGGACACTCCATTCTAACCTCCTCTTCCTGTAACTGTTTCCTCTCATTCTTTACCATTAATATATTCTCCCTATGGGACAACAGCTGCTATCAGCGTGCAAATACATGATTATAGCTCTTATCTCAAGAAATGAAATCCCCAACTTTCATCATTCAGCTTCCTCCAGTTCCTGCATGTTCCTTCCATTTCTTTGCAGAACTCTCTGGGAAGGCTGTCCCCCGGATTTGGAAACCCAGATATGACCTTCATGAGGGTTTTACACACTGCTATTTGTTCTGTCTCTTCTGTTTTGTCTCCCCTCCCCTCCCCCTCCTCTCCACCCATCCCCTTCCCTCCTCTCCCCGTCCTGTTCTCTCTTCTGCCCTCTCCTCCCTTCCCCTCCCCCCTCCCATCCCATCTCCCTTTCTCTCCTCCCCTTTCTTCTCTCTCCCCTTCTGTTCTCTCTCTCCGCCCTATGCTAGGTAGGCAAGCCCCTACAGCTCAGCTACACCCCCACCCGGCTGGGCTCTCCTCTGCACCCTTGCGGCCAAGCTGTTTGTTTCATTGTTTCATCAAAATGCCATCATCAAGATCAGACCTGGGTTTCCAAATCCAGGCGATATTTACCAACACCTCCAGCTGGAAGCAGTTAGCAAAGGCGAGGATCTTCCTCCTTGGAAGGAGGCCATCGCTTGCCTCTGGAGCAACGTTCTTTCTTGACTTTCCTGTGCTTCCCCAGCCACTCTCGGGCCCAGTCTCTATGCTTTGGAGATGACCACAGTTCAGTCCTTTGACGTTTCCTTTCCTCTCTGCTCATTCTGTAATCTTGTGGCTTTAGCATCATTTAATAGACTGATGAAACTCAAATTTGTTTCTGTTCCTCAGCAAGACCCTAATACTCAGCTGGATCCTCAGTGTGGTCTCTTGGCTATCTAGAGAGAAGCTCAAACTAAAGATGCTCCAGTCTGAACTCTTGATCCTCCCTCATCAACCTGCTCTTTCCCCAATCCCACCATCTCAGCAAACATTGTCTTTATTTACGCTAAAACAGCAGAGTCATTCTTCTTTTCTCTAAAATCACTTTATTCTTAGACAGTTTTGTACAGGCATATAATACATTCACATCACATTACCCTAAGCTATTATTCCTCTTCACCCCCACACCAAAAGCCCTCCTCCTCTGGATAAGTGCTCTTCCCACTATTGTATCTTTAAAAGGGGTTTTGTTTTGTTTTGAATTTTGTGACTCACTGAGTTTAACCAGGTCTGCCTGCATGGGCATGGGTGTGGAGCTATCCACTGGAGCAGAGCTATCCACTGGAGCATGGGTAACTCACCATGGTTACACCTTTGAAGAGAATGACTCTCCCTCCCCCAGCAGTCATCAACTGCCAATAGCTCCCCAGAGAGGGGTCAGGCCCCATGAGACCCTCCCCCAGCCATGACTGAATGTTGACTGGTCCAGTCTTGTGAAAGCCCTGTGCAGGTGACCTGAGCTAAAGTGAGTTCATGAGTACAACGTCTGGCTCTTACATTCTTCTCCTACCCCTCCCACAATATTCCCTGAGCCTTAGGAAGGGGTGAAATGGATGTTCCATTCGGGGATGGACAATAAAACAGCCCAAGAGTGAAAACACTGTATATCTGAAAACAAAAGGCAAACCATTTCCAAAAAATGTTACTATGGTTTGCCCCATGATACAAAAGTGCTGACTGGGAAAGAGAAGCAGGAAGTTCAGCTGGGACCTCCAGCTGACAGCTTCAGCCTCCCCAGTTGACTTCTGCTGGATGCTGCTGGATGCTGCTGGATGCTGCTGGATGCTGTAAGCACCCCATGTAATGATGTTACCTCTGTCGGTTTTATTTGTTCTTTTACTTATAAACCTCACCAAGAGGAATTCTGCTTTGCCCAGAACTCTCTGGATTGAAAACTGCAGCTGGCTGCCTTAATGGGGCATCCCTAGTGGGTTTCTGCTGGATATTTGTTAGCTCCTGATTTGATGATGTTACCTTTATGCTGCTATTTGTTATTTACTTAGAAGCCTCAACTGAGGGGACACACAGATCTGCTTGGGATCTTTTCTACTGGGAGCTCCAGTTGACTGCCTTAAAGAGGCTTCCTCTGTCAATTTCTGTTGGAGCACCCACTTTGATGTTGTTTTGCTATCTATATACCTACCTACCTATCACTTGCTATTTATTCTTTTACTTTGGTTTGCTATATACTTAGTAAACTCATCCATTCAAATCTAAAAGTACAGCCGGTTGTGGTGGCATACACCTTTAATCCGAGCACTCAGGAGGCAGAGGCAGGCAGATCTTTGTGAAAGTGAGGCCAGCCAAGTCTACACGGTGACTTACAGACCAGCTGGGACTACAGGAAGAGACTGTCTCAAAAAATATCCAAAAAATGGATATTAATCATTCTTCAGACCATACAGAACATTGTCTGAGAGGCTTTCCCTTGACATCAGATGTGAAATGGCACCTTACTTCCTATTATTCTCTATCACCTAACTTTGTTTTATTCTTCATAGCACTTACCATCTCTCAACATATTACACATTTATTCGATTATTTTCTGCTTCTCTACTCACTAGGGTACAAGGTCAATGAGAGAAGGAACTTCTCCTGTCTGCATCCAAAGCACCTAAGAACACCGCCTAGGCACACAGCTATCATTCAGTATTGATGGGTTTACTGAATGAAAAACTTGGAGTAATTGATTCCTGCACATATACTTAATTCATAACTTATTTTATTAGTTAGTCTGACATAGGGAAAGAGGAGGAAAAGAACTGTATATTTCCGGATTACTGAAGTAAACATGAAAACCAGCACAGGGGTCAGAAATACTAACACTCTTCTGGAATTTCTTTGTAGCACTTTCTGTTCTAGTCAGAGGAGAAATTTGAATTTCTCCAGCTCCTCAAGGAGGAGGCTTTGACTGACAGGCAGGAAATGTGAGCAGCTCCCATCAGAGGAGCAGGAATGTCATAAAGACTTGCAGAGAAGGCATGGCCTAAGGCAGAGAACGAGGACTAGATGGACTAGTAAGGCTAGTTTTAGCCTTTCAGTCCTGTCAGTTGCACTCATTTCACACAACTGGCATTCATGATAACCTCCAAGGCGTGGTAATGCCAAACACAAAGACAGATATCACAGCGAGACAAGAGGAATATGCCACAGAATATGTAATACATCCAACGGGCTTTCTGAGAGAAATCTTCACGTGAGAAATGCATACTGGGATTGTTTTCGCCTTTGCTTTTTAAAACTTTTCTCTTCTGTAGTTTCTGTCTCCTTTCATTATAACATAAGCTTTTCTAAAATAAACTTTAGCATAGAAAATCCCTAAGTGCTTTCAAAGGTTTGCAGAAAGAGACTACCAGGCCAGCTGGCTTTCACTTAATAGAAACAGCCAGCATTTGTCTTTTTAGTTCAGCTCTGCTACAATTCAGTGACTGGGCTCTATTTGATTTTTCCAAAGATTT